CCGGTGACGCTGCAGGTGCCGGGGCTCATGAGCTCCCAGGTGCAGATGGGGGGTCACCCCACGGAGGTTCTGTGCCTGCTCAACATGGTCCTACCTGAGGAGCTCCTGGACGACGAGGAGTACGAGGAGATCGTGGAGGACGTCAGGGACGAGTGCGGCAAATACGGAACCGTCAAATCCATCGAGATCCCCCGGCCCGTGGATGGGGTGGAGGTGCCTGGCTGTGGGAAGGTGAGATGTGGGGTTACCTGTGTGCCCAGGTGTGCCCAGGTGTGCCCAGGTGTGCTGGGAATGGGGCACTGTGGGGTTAAATCCATCGAGATTCCCAGACCTGTGGATGGGGTGGAGGTGCCGGGGTGTGGGAAGGTGAGATATGGGAGAAATGAGCTCACCTGTGTGCCCAGGTGTGCCCAGGTATGGCACAGCAGGGATGGGAATGGGTCAAATCCATCGAAATTCCCAGGGCTGTGGATGGGGTGGAGGTGCCGGGGTGTGGGAAGGTGAGAAATTGGAAATAGGGACTCACCTGTGTGCCCAGGTGTGCCCAGGTGTGCTGGGAATGGGGCACTATGGGGTTAAATCCATCGAGATCCCCCGGCCCGTGGATGGGGTGGAGGTGCCGGGCTGTGGGAAGGTGAGAAATGGGAGATAGGGACTCACCTGTGTGCCCAGGTGTGCCCAGGTGTGCCCCAGGTGTGCCCAGGTGTGCTGGGAATGGGGCACTATGGGGTCAAATCCATCGAGATTCCCAGGCCCGTGGATGGGGTGGAGGTGCCAGGGTGTGGGAAGGTGAGAAATGGGAGAAATGAGCTCACCTGTGTGCCCAGGTGTGCCCAGGTGTGCCCAGGTATGGCACAGCAGGGATAGGAATGGGCTCAGGCACCGTGAAATCCATCGAGATTCCCAGGCCCGTGGATGGGGTGGAGGTGCCGGGGTGTGGGAAGGTGAGAAATGAGAGAAATGAGCTCACCTGTGTGCCCAGGTGTGCCCCAGGTGTGCCAGGAAAGGCCAGATATGAACCTAAACCACCCAAAATGATCCAGAATCCCCAAAACCGCCCAAAATGACCCAAATTTTCCCAAAATCCCCATTTTTCTCCTCAGATTTTTGAGGAGTTCACGTCAGTGTTCAACTCCCAGAAGGCCTCCCTAGGCCTGGGCTCTCCTTGTGACCCAAATTCCCCCAAAATTGCCCTGAAATGACCCCAAAATGACCCAAAATCACACTGGGACTCCTGAAATTCCCAAAAATGTCTCAAAATGACCCAAATTTTCTCAAAATCCCCATTTCTTTCCTCAGATTTTCCTGGAGTTCACGTTGGTGTTTAACTGCCAGAAGGCCTCGCTAGGCCTGGGCTGTCCCTGCGACCCCAAATCCCCCCAAAATCCGCCCAAAAT